CTGCCAACACTACAACTTTCCAAGCACAAGGATCTCGAATCGCCGAGACATAGGGTCGGATCGCGGAAACAGAGACGTGGAATATGGAGGTGAAGGAGGCGCTCTGTAAACCCCTAAAACAACAGCAGATTTTGCAGGATAAGTTGACAGATATTAAAGGGAGGAATAGGAGAAATAACATTTGTATCTTTGGAATACCCGAGGATAAAGAAGGAGACTGTGCCCCCAAATATCTAAACCAACTGCTCACAACGGAGCTCAACCTGCAAATCCAACCGGCACACAGGGCGCTGGCCCAAAAACCAAACTGCAACTCTCCACCGCGATCTATGATCGTAAACTTTTTGGAATACACGGTTAAAGAGATGGTCCTGAAGAAAGCTTGGCAAAAGAAAATCGTTGTGGAGGGGCGGCCGCTGATATTTGACCATGATTATGCAACAGAAGTGGTTCAGAAACGCAAAGCTTACAGCGGAATTAAGAAGCTTCTGAAGGAGAGAGGGATCCGCTTTCAAACTCCTCTCACTAAAATGAGAATCCACTGGGACGACGGACCGAAGCTCTATGGATCCGCACAAGAAGCAGCATGTGACATGAGGAAACGGGGATTCTCCGTGGGACCAACCGGTTCCGCCACCCCGGACCACGAAGCAACGTGGGAGAGGTTGCATCTGGAGCTGCCATGGCAACGCGTCGGAGAGAGAAGAGACAGAACAGCGCGGCGTGCAAAGGAAAAGTTACAGGAGTTCGAGCGGATAACGCAGGTCTCAGAGTAACCTGCCATTTTTAACGGAGGTATTATTTAAACAGTTTCCCAGACAGTTTTTTTTTTTAAATTCTCAATAGCGCCCACAAAGAGTCTTTCTGAAAGGTTTAGTCCGGAGTATTGGCATCTACCTTACCATAATAATACAGCCTGTCTATCGGGCAAGTTTTTCCCTAGAAGTATAAAAAGTTGGACAAATAGCTACGTGTGAAATGTTGACTTTCACCACTGCTGAGGGGCCCTTACGCCTATTGAGGAATCCCCCTCCACCCACCAACAGGGATCTGGGGTGGCACCATTAATCACCCCCCTTTTGAAGTTTTCACCTTCTGTTCTTTGCTGTGTGTTGTAGGCCATATGTTCAGGCCTCTTCTGTTTCTTATTTTCAGGGGTCTACATTTTGTGACATTGAGCATTGATGATAGCATTTAACAGCGTGAACTCGAAAAGTTTCGTAAGATATAGGGGGAACCATATGTTACAATCATTTTACACGTCCAGGGAAGACGGAAGGTAGGGAGTTTAGGGGGGAGATGGGATAAACACTATTTCAGACTCAGTACACGCGGTGGTAGAGTTGTTGGGTCGGCGGAGAAATTCAGAAAATGGAATTTGTAAAGCAAGGTATAGACATCACCCGTTGCACTAGGTACCTAACAGAAAGTCAGTTTAAGGGGTAGTTCAAGGGTAGAGTTAGTTCGGACGTTGACCATGAGGAAGTTGGTTCAAGTAAGAGATACAGGAAGGTAAAACGTAACATCAGCCCCCAAACGTGGTCGTATGATTCCCAGAATTAACTCGATCGTAAATCATCAGAACTCCTTCCCCTCTCGGTAAGGGGGAAAAGAGGAAGCCATCAAAATCACAAAACTAAGACTAAGACCCGGAACAAGGGCCGGTGTGTTTAGATCTCTAAGTAAGACACGGGATGAGATACTTAACAAAGAGTCCTGACGATGTCCTTCACAGACCTTCTCTATGTCCTCGGACTATCTTAGTAAGTAAAAGGTTGTCTCAGATAAGATCTCGAATCAGTCTTGCCGTCGCGGTGGAACGATACACGACGAAATTAAAGAACTTTAGTTTTCCGAACATCAATAAAGACTGCGACAAAGGTCTAGGTAACTTACTAGATGAGTTCTTCATGGAGTGACTCTTAGGCTTAGGGTAGCAATTACAAGCATAAAAAGGAGAACAAAGAACTCTCCCCACATATTAACTTACACTCCCGGAACACAAAAAATTGTAAATAAATATTGGACTATACACTGTTATACGAGGTCTGAGAAGTAGTCAGAGTCCCTTTCTAACGAGACCAACCCAGTCTATATAGTTCCTGTCAGCAGAGTTTATTCCTATAAAAGACAAGCGGAGGACGGTACAGGTGAGGAAATTAAGTAATAAGACAGAATAGGGTGACGAATCACCAAGATACTTTTACCGTTCTCGGTTACCGAGTGGCCCGTGGAACCGCTGTCGGGGAGAAATAATACTTCTAAAATATCCAGGGGTAATTGGGAACGACGTACAAACAGTATATTGCCCAGACCTACAGGATTAATAAATTAAAAACCACTTTAGGTTTAGAAAGGTTGTGGAATATATTTTTACAGGTAGACTGCTCATCTTGCGAGAAAAGCGTAGATAGGGATGGTTATTACTAAATTATAAAGAGTTTAACATATACAGAATATTACACGGTCACAAGAGGACTGTGATAGGACGCAGACAGAACGCAATATTTGGGACAAACCCAGGCGTAAAACTATTGGACCATCTTAAAGAGGATAAGAAAACCGATATGTAACTACACTTATTAAACATAGAACTAAAGTCTTGTGATTAGACGGAATTTCACGCTTGTCTAGATTAAAATTAGAATGGAAGAAAACCATAATAACTTTAACACCGGGAGGAGAGATACTTCCTACTTAGTGGGGGAAAACACTTGTGTTTCACTTACAAGAGTCCATCTTAACCTACATTACAAAGAGGTTTACTGAACATGGGTGAGGCTCCACTTGGGCAGACACGGTCCCCTGAAAGGTCACGAAATCAATGGATATCGACGTAATTGAGAAGGACAAGCTAACCGCGACTATTCGGAAGTCAAACCAGTCGTAAATGGTAGCCGGTTAACCTCCCTGGGTTCCTTTGGAGGTTATACTAGGAGTACAGATATGAACCACACACATATATTAAGAAATTCATACGAAGTTTTGTTCGAAACATAGGGAGGTCTAATAGGACTTAAATAAAAAGACCTAAGCCTAAGAACCAATACCATAACGACCACGAATAACAAAAAATTAAAATATCGATTTTCAAACCGACCTAAATTGGGGGATGCAGTAATTATAAAATCAAACTCCTTATTGTTAAAAAAAGCATGGAGAACACACCTAAAGTGACGATAAAATAAGAATTACAGTATTCAAGTGCAAAATACCATCCCAGTGGACTAAGGAATACACAACGAAGCTGACAAATATAAGTGAAAGGTTTTAAGGAGTCGCGGAGAGGACGGAAACGCGGAAGAACTGGTTCCCGACTAAACCGATAGTATAAAGGGAGAGTAATGAGCGGAACGTACGCAGAGGTAATCGTGTCGGCCCGTAGGTGGGAGTGGTAACAGTAAAAGGTAGTTCTTGTCAACTAAAGAAAAAAATTTCAAGAGGGAAGTGAACAAGTCAGTCCTATGGACTCAAATCAGAGGGTATCCCACAAAGAGAAAGATACAAGTCTAAGTTTCAGTATATGTGTCCCGATACCAGACTCTATAGGTACTATGGTTACAGGTGTCAAAGATTAAGATACAAGACAGAAACAATATGTAGTCGTTCATCAGTTAGGAACGCATCAGATTTAAAACCCATACAGCAGTACAGAATTAGGAGGAGTCTTCGGACACAAAGACATCGGTAGTCTAGTTGTTAATGACGGTGACATGATACCGATAGTTATAGCGTAGAGGGTAGATAAACAAGGAGCTTAAGTCCGACATGCGAAGGGAAAGTAGGAAAACGATATACACAAGCTAAGTAGGATGGACTCTAGTCACAGCGATGGGGGAGGACACGGGACTTGGGTATACTTCTACTTTTATGTACAAATTGGGGTTAGACAAGTCGAATGGTACAAGGTTAAGACACTCTACACAGAGAACATAATTATTAGGGATATAGGATGGAATAGAAAAAAGTTACTATATAGTTATAGAACGAGGAGAACTAACCTAATCCGTGGCGTAAATACAACATTCATCCGATAAAATTAAAAAACAAGGTCGGTAGACTGGACCATATTTCAGTATGTTTAGGGGGAATTGGTTTTATTTGTAATAAAGGAATAGCGATACACAGAACCGTCGGGAGTTTAACATGACCCTCATTCCATACTCATATACGGTGTGGAACGAAATTA